TAAACGCGAGCATACCGCAGGAGTGCCGCCGCGCATGTGTCTCGCGAAGCGGTCGCGTTGTCGCATACTGCTCTCACTTAACGCACTCCATGATGACAGTCAGTTTTTTGGCCTGTTCGCCTTTAGAGCGAAAAGGGTGCGGCTTATACACCTGAAAATAGGGTAAATGACTCTAAAGAAAGCGCCGGGATTATCAAGGATCACACAAAGCTGGAAAATGCGGCTTATACAGCTTCTCGCTGTTGTCCAATGTATTTATATTGAATGATGATAAAAATACTTACGAGTAGGTTGACAACGTAAAATCCAGACATTTAGGCCTTCAAAATAGAAGCTTTTCGTAAGGCTGCGATCCCCTCCCCGCGGGGATGTTCATGCATGCGGCTATAAGAATATCGGAGTGGATTTCTCGCAAAGCAACGTCCCCGAGAAAGACCTTTAACGAGGTGGACATTTGTGTACGTGAGGATGACCAGCTGTAAAACCAGCTAGACACGATTTTTGCATCTGTTACTCGTGGAAGTAGCCGTCGACGACAGGTTGGAAGATCATGGATGTTTGAAACGAGGCACAGAGCGCATAGAAATCTTTAAGCTGGGGCCAGCATGCAATTTGAAGATATGTGAAACAAAGAAAAATATACCTCTGACTAAGCATCTGAGCAAGTAAGTGACGAATGCAGTTGCCGGACGATGCAGATAACGAGATTATGCCATTATTGATTAGTAGACACTGTCTGAATAACAACTCCTAGCTAACTCAAAGTTCAGCCACCAGGATTGGTAGCCCTCACTTTGCTCATGCATGAAAATGCATAAAGGAGAAGACTTTGTGGAATGCTTGAGCGAGACGACCGCAGGATCTAAGCCGCTGGTGTGCTTACTAGGAAGAATCGTCATGTTTTGGCGAGCATCCCATTATACTTTGAATCGAATCGAATGACCATTCCATTATATAAATAAATAAAAATTCAGATTGAATATATTCAATAGGGATTCAAAAATCTCAGCTTTCGGATACTATTCGATAGTCGTACTTTCTGGTCATTAATCCGATTATTTGATGTTTATCGAGTATTCGAATACTCGATGAGCACTAAATATTCGAAAGCTTGATGCACATTGACCATCGGAAGTTCATTGAGTATCGGATATTAGAGAATTCAATATTCATACTCAGACAATGGATGGGACCCCTCCGCCGGAGAAGTGGCAGGGTCGCGGCGTATCCCCAGCGGTGGTTCTCCCATTTGTCCGGCGGAGCCCTCCCATTTGTCCGGCGGAGACCTCCCATTTCTCCGGCGGATACCTCCCATTTTCTGCTCCGGAGACCTCCCATCTTCTGCTCCGGATACCCCCCATTTTCTGCTCCGGATATCCCCCATTTTCTGCTCCGGATACCTCCCATTTTCTGCTCCGGAGCCCCCCGATTTTGTGCGCCGGAGCCCCCCGATCGCGGCATACTGTAATTAGCCCTAATTAAAGGCAGCTTCCAGGCAGATCTGGACCTATGGGGCTTTTACATGGAAAGTACTTTTGGGGCCGTGACTAAGGCACTGCCGAAGCAGCAGCTCAGGTAGTGCTCCAATGGCTGAGATATTCCCCTCGAAACAGACCCCCCGCGAACGTATTCGCATGGATTCATGGCAGTTTCGCGCCAGGATCCACGCTTTGCGCCATGAATCCATGCGAAACACGGTCGCGGGGTCCGGTTTCGAGCAGAATATCTCAGGTGTTAGAGCATTACTTGAGCTGCCGGTTGGGTAGTGGCTTAGTTAGGGCCCCAAAATACTTTCCATGTAAAATCCCCATAGGTCCAGACTTGCCTGGACGCTGCCTTTAAGCTCCAAACCCCAATTTTGTCTCTAAACCCCACCCAAATAAGCCGAATAGGACCCCCCCCCCCCCGGGTAGGAGTTTAGCGCGACCCTCACCCCATACACTACCCCCTCCCTCTCACCCCTAGCGTTTGTGGATAGAAGATAGAAGAAAGAACGAAGAGATAAGACATTTATTTCAAATTTATCAAACTTTCGAAAAATCTATCTATCTATCTCCAGCATACGTACAACAGTTAATTCATATTACAAAAACCATACTAGGAGTGACAAGAATATTCAAAGAAAAACTAATTTCCTAGTTGCAAAAAGAACCTTGTAACACCACAGTATAAGCATATGGTTTTAACATGGTAAGAAAATGACAAAAAGATCAAAAAAGCATTCTGTGCAACATGAAACAAAACAGCGAGGAACGCCCTAAACTCACATTTGCAAAGCAGGGACATATTGTCCAAGTGCGATATATACATGAGCTATATTCATCCAAACATCTTCGAATTCCGAGGCCCAAGGCCATACTGGGGCAAAACGAAAGTAGGATGATTCAACGTAGTTGCTTGATAATAGTACTAGGACACGATGATGACATGGATTGAAATTCTTGCATATGCAACTTACCTTGAACGCATTTTCATAGTCTCTGTTGAAATGGAAAAACCGCGCAAGAATGTAACAAGCTTCGGCCTTGATTTCGTCACTTTCCGTCATACTCATTGCATGCCACGCTAACCGTTCAACCTTGTTCATTTCCTGAAAAAGTGATGCCTTCAGATAAAGCGATAAACACCTCGATGTAACAGCTTGGACAAATTTAAAAGGTCCCTTTTATAGATAATTCGTAATTAATTCAAAGAATTTCTGCAGTGACTCCTTTGAAGAAGAAGTGGTTGGCAAGATGGACCAAGACAACCGGATTCTCCGGCTCCAGACTATACGCTTGGCCTAGACAAGCCACTGCACTTTGGGCTCCCTCGACAGTATGCGTATTGTAATCCAAAGTGGCAAGTGCTGAGAGAGCACAAACATTGTCATTTTGCAATTCCAACGCTCGTTCAAAAGCGATTCTGCAAATTGTAATTGAAAGTCACATAAACAGTAAAGAAGAAGCTATGTGACTCAAACATTTCACATTTACATGCTTACCTAGCCTTATCAGTCCCTAATCTCGCTAAGCAATACTGGAAGCAATGTGATGTGACTAAGCAACAGTAACAGTCACAATGCTTCAGTAACAGTCACAAAACTTCAACATCGTTTGGAGTTGCCTCCAAGACTTTTGTCAACATATCTCTTGCCTTGTCCTATCTTTCAAGCCAGAAACGATATAGTGAGGATCTGCAACGTCTGATGAAAAGTCGATCGACTTGGTAAGCATACGTACGAGAGAGATAGTGTGGACCCCGGCCAGCTTCAGGTACTAGCGCGGCGCACACGCAACGCGCGCCCGACTTGAACGCTTCTCATTTCACTTACGAACAAAAAAGCATTATAACCGAAAACAGGAGTGAAATGAGATGTGGAGGCCTCTAATCCGAACACGAGAAAAGCCAAGGCAATAGGAGAACCTTCACAACTTCTACTACTAGCGCTCAGATTCCAGTCAATCTCATAGATAGAAAAAGCAAAAGGAAAGAAGACAAGGATCAAATATTCTATGAAAAAATAACTAAAAAATAAAAAAATAATAATAAAATAACTAAATAACTAAAGATAACTGGAATCTTCTATTATCCATCGCTAGTAGTGTATGACACTACCAGCGATGGATGATAGAAGTAACAGGAAAAGTCGAAGAACAATTCTGAAAAGTCTTCCTTCTGGTCATAAAAAAACCCAGAAAGTTTGAGCTCAAGAGCACGATTGCAAAGCTCTGATGGTGTAACAAAAGGCTAGAAGCATCTACACTCCACAAAATCAACTGCATATACACTTATTCTGAACAACCTTTGGAGAGATGTCTCTGAACTACACCGAAATCTTCACTATTGAGAAAAAAACAAGATTTTTGAAACAAATGCTTGCAAGACTGTCAAGACTCGTAAAAATCCATCACCAGCAGTTGACGTGTGTCGTTTACATCTAAAGTAGAGATTACAGAAGAGAACAAACACACTTGAAAGAGCAAATTGAAAGAAATCCCTTCAGAGCCGAAACGAAAAGCGCACTGAAGGCATGCGCTGGGGCGCGCCGCGGAGGTACCTATGGGAACCTGGCCGGGGTCCACACTATAGCAATAAACGGATTATTTAGACGATACTTTCATCACAACAACACTAGATAGTTGCGCAACTAACCTCATTGTTTCGAAAATCCAGAATTAATCACAAAAACCACTCCATCAATAGTCTACGATGTCTCAGCAAGTCGGAAAGAGCCAAACACTGAAGGTGATTGAGTGCAACCGCACGAAAATTTCAAACATAAACCCGAAAACGAGGAACTTACAGCAACATAAACGCCAACGCGACGAAGAGCAACGCGGAAAAGGAAAAAACGGTAAAGAAACGCGCAAAAACAACAGAATCAAAGAAACGGCGACTAAAATATGGACAAAGAGCGTAAACAGAGGACTCATCACCGTGGAGTTATACGTTTGCTTGCTACGCGCCAAATCGATACGCAGCCTGCTCCGGATACCTCCCATTTCTCCGGCGGATACCTCCCATTTCTCCGGCGGATACCTCCCATTTTCTGCTCCGGATACCTCCCATTTTCTGCTCCGGATACCTCCCATTTTCTGCTCCGGATACCTCCCATTTTCTGCTCCGGAGGCCTCCCATTTCTGCTCCGGACCCCTCCCATTTTCTCCGGCGCGGCTCTTCCAAATTTGGCGGACACGCGCCGCGCAGATTTCTGCGGCGCGGAGTCCGTCAAATCTGGCAGAGTCGCGCCGGAGAAATGGCGGACCTTTGCAGCAGGGCCGGAGAAGCCTCCCATTTGCCTGCCAGTGATGCCACCGCGATGGACCGCCCATTTGCCCTTCTCTCATTGGTCAACTGGGTCCGGCGCGACTCTGGCAGTTTCCGAGGGTCCGGCGGAGGGGTCCCGTCGATTGTCTGAGTAGCATAGACGGGGTGTCCCAAAAGTATCTAAACGGTGTTTAAGGGGGAACGGAACTTACATACACAATAAGGTTGCCGCCGCCTGATTAGCGGAGTTCATGACCTCTCATGAACTTCAATTAGGCGGCGGCAACCTTATTGTGTATGTAAGTTCCCTCACCCGTGTTTAAGTCCTTCGTCATTCATTATTCTGTAAAATTGGCTTCAGCTTTATTGCCAAAAAGCGAATCACCTATGCTTTTTATTATTATGGAATTAAGGTAGGAACTTCCAGGGGGCGGAGTGGCCGAGAGGTTAGTGCCCTTGACTACGGCGAGGAAGGTCACAGGTTCGGTTCCGCGATGGGCCTAATCTCCTTGGCAAAACTCTCGCCCCACGAATCCAGCGTCAGGCTGCTAATCCAAAGGGAAAGCAAGCGACAAGCCGGCTGAAGAAGACAATGGTCGCATCAAAATGCTCTTTTATGTCTCATCAAGTATTCGGAACAAAAGCTAGGGCGTTCCCCGGAGGCGACGCGCATTCGAGCCCGACGGATGCGAACAGTATGCTAGGGTTACCGTTTCAGCAGGGTGAGCGGGGACGGTTGAAGAAGCTAGCTCACCATAGGCGAGTATCCAAGTTCTCAGCGTTACGTCTAGCCACCGTCAATGTAGGATCACTCACTTCAAGGCATCGCGAGTTGGCTGATTTTCTCAGAAGACGTAGGGTTGACATCGCCTGTATTCAGGAGACAAAATGGAAAGGAGAGAAGTCACGAGACATAGGTGACGGGTACAAGCTTCTGTACAAAGGAACGTGCAACAACAGGAACGGCGTCGGTATAGTGGTCTCAGAAGCGTTAAGAAGTAGAATCACGGACGTGGATCGAATAAGTGATCGACTAATGTGCATCAGAATGGATATGGGGAAAAGAATTCTACGAGTCGTAACCGCATATGCGCCACAAGTTGGGTGCACGGAGATAGAGAAAGATGAATTCTGGAAGCAGCTCGATGACTGTATCGACTCGATACCACGCGACGAGATGCTACTAATAGGAGCAGACTTCAACGGGCATGTAGGTGTACAACGAAGTGGTACAAGCAAGTGTCATGGTAATCACGGATACGGAACACGTAACAGCGAAGGAGAACGTATTCTGGAGTTCGCCACGGCGCATGACTTGGCACTGGCAAACACATACTTCGTAGAGAAGGATAGTCATCTCATCACGTACGCCAGCGGGAATCGGAAGACACAGATAGATTTCTGGACAGTACGACAAAGTGAGCTTAAGTATGTGAAGAACACCAAGGTCATACCCGGAGAAGACTGCATACCACAACATCGACCACTAATTCTGGATCTGAATATTCCAGCCGACAAGCAAAGAAGAACAACAACAGGGCAAGTAGCACGGATCAAATGGTGGAAGCTCAAAGACAAGGACCACATCAGAGCAGCCATGGAATCTGCCCTACCAGAGTTGGAAGAAGAATCAGAAGACTCCTAGAAGAAGTTGAAGAAGAATGTTCATCAGATAGCAAGCAGTCTACTAGGACGTACGAAGCCAGGAAGGGCAAAAATTGACAAAGAAACCTGGTGGTGGAACGAAGAAGTGCAATCCATGATCAAGAAGAAGAAAACAGCGTACAGAATGTGGCAGAAGCTGAAATCAGAAGAGGCACGGCAGAGATACTCAGACGCGAAGCGGGCAGCCAAGAAGAGTGTCAAAGAGGCAAAAGAAGCGTATATGGAGGTACTCTACAAGAAGCTGCACACTCGAGAAGGCGAACGAGACATCTACCGACTCGCGAAAACAAGATCAATCGCCGCAAGAGATGTAGAGCACTTCTACAGTATCAAGGACGCACACGGGAAAATGCTCAGGAAGCCACAAGAGATAAGAGAAAGATGGAGAGCACACTTCGCCGAGACAGCGTCTACAAGCCACGAGTACACAGTGACGTCTACAGCTGAGCCTGTGCATGGACCAGTTCCAACTATCACCGAAGACGAAGTTCGCGCCGCAATAATGAAGACGAAGAACGGCAAGGCGACAGGCCCCGATGACATCCCCAACGAATTCTGGAGAGCATGTGGTCAAGCTGGAGTTACATGGCTAACACGACTGCTCAATCGGGTGATAGAAGCCAAGAAAATTCCGAACGACTGGTGCAGAAGCGTGACGGTACCAATATGGAAGAACAAAGGTGACGTAGCTGACTGCTCGACGTACCGCCCCATCCGACTTATGTGCCACACCCTGAAGATCTTCGAAAGAATTCTAGAAGCACGACTGCGAAACATCGTGGAGCTAGTCCCTAACCAGTGTGGATTCGTCAAAGGCCGCAGTACAACAGATGCCATCCACGCTGTCAGAATAATGATGGAAAGAAGCAGGGAAAAGCAATGCGAGCTGCACGCGGCGTTCTTGAACTTGGAGAAGGCGTTCGATAAAGTGCCGCATGACATCATATGGTGGTCACTACGAAAGCACATGGTGCCGGAAGAATATGTGCGATGGATCAAGATGATATACAAAGATGCCAGAAGCCACGTACAAACAGCAGCAGGGCCATCAGAAGAGTTCCAGATCAACGCCGGAGTTCATCAAGGCTCCGTACTGTCACCCCTCCTCTTCATCACGGTAGTGGATGCGATAGTTAGAGACTTCATACGGCAACCTCCGTGGGCTCTGATGTACGCAGATGATGTGATGCTGATGGCAAGAAGCAGGAACGTACTGGAGGCCGAGGTGCAGAAGTGGAAAAATGAACTTGAGCTGCACGGCTTGAAGATCAACACCAGCAAGACCGAGTACATGGAGGTGGGACCTCAAACGCCTGGAACTATAGAAATCGAAGGCGCCCCAATTAAGAAGACCACGACATTCAAGTATCTAGGAAGTCGCATCGCCGCAGATGGTACGCTTCAGGACGAAATAACCAGCAGAATAAATGCAGCTTGGTCGAAATGGAGAAGTGTCACAGGAGTCCTGTGCGATAAGAAGATGCCACTCAAGCTAAAATCCCAGCTGTATCGCACTACAGTCCGCCCGACTGCTCTGTATGGCAGCGAATGTTGGCCGTGCACGCGAGAAGACGAACGAAGGATTGGTGTGATGGAGACACGCATGCTAAGATGGACAGCGGGAGTCACGATGCTGGACCACGTCACTAACGACACCATACGAGCTACGATGAAGGTCGCCCCTATCGTCAAGAAGATACAAGAGAAGAGATTGCGATGGTATGGACACGTTAGAAGACGAGCGGAAGATCATGTCGCTAGGTTGGTGATGTCAGTCGAAGTACCTGGAAAGAGGCCAAGAGGGAGGCCGAAATTGAGATGGATAGACAAAGTGAAAGCGGACTTGAGAGAACTTGAGATAGAAGAAGATCAAGCTGAAGATCGAGAAGTCTGGAAGAGACTAACCAGAGCAGCAGACCCCCTCTGAGGGAAGAATGCAAGGATAAAAAAAAAGTAGGAACTTCCAGCATATAGAGCAACTGCGCGATTTTAAAGACTTCTACAAGTCAACCTACAAAAATTGCATAGCAGAGTTTTTACGTGTGCTGTTTTACTACACAACTTATCTCGAGTTTTTAAGTTTTTTAAATGTGTAATCACGTTTTTGAGAAGCATTGAAATTTGTTACGTGTACCTGGTGTAATTTGTGAAAAAGGCTGCGATTAAGTGCAAATTTTGCATCTAAATTGAGTGACTCCAAATGTCTGAAGTAGGACTCTCGGCGTTTTTGTATCTTGAAACAAAATACCGCTGGCTAAGTTTCAAAACCCTCTTCAGTTTTGCTGCGTAATCCTACAACCCGAAGAAAAACCCGATGATCCGTTCCATACCTTGAATTCAAGTTGAAATCAGCCCTACAGAATGGTAAATACCTAAAGTTTGGAAAAAGGCTTTGTGGGAAGAGAGTTAACGACTGAACAGTGTCTATGTACTGTTCGACAGCCAGTATATCACTCCCAACACTCAATGAGGGAGGGAAGCGTAGTAAGCAAGATGAGCCGTCTTTATATGCCGTATTACAACTGATGCTCTTTTACTACTCAGTGACGCCAATATTTGAAATGTTAATCTTCTACAAAGTTTTGAATAATTTCTTCACATTATAGGAGTAAGCTTTAGGTCCCGAGCTTCTTGCTGTCAAGCTAAGCTGTTTTATCTTATGTAACATACGTAAATTAGGTTGTTGCATAAGTTCTGTCCGATTTTTTTGCCTTATGTTTGAGGCAGCTGTTCTAAGAGAATTTCATCTCTAATGCGGTATTGTTAGCATCATTAAAAAGTGTTTTTCTTGCGCTTTTTGAGGCATAAAAATTCTAATAAATTTCTTAGTGTAAGGAGATTTCAGGCCTAAAATCTCCAAGTGGCCGAGGTACGTTCTCACCCTAGAAATACGTTCTTGCGAGGAAATCTCCACAATGCGCCCTTCAGGTCAAGTTTTTTAATTGGTAGCGGAATAAGGGTGTAATAGGCTAGTATACGCATAAATCCAGTTCCATGAAGAAAACGTCTTGCTAGTAAAATTTATTGTCAAACATCAATTGTATAGATGTTTTACAAGCTATAACTTTCTGTGAATAGAAGTAATGACAACTTCAAAGTTGGAGGTGCCAGCGTAAAGCAAGGGCTAGCAGAGACCATCCACCATTTTTTTTCGGCGCTCACGCAACTGTAAAATTTCCGTAATTTGTAAATAATGCACACATGCGCTGAAACGAGGTCAAAAACGTAATTTGTAAATAATGCACACAAGCACTGAAGCGAGGTCAAAAAGTGGCCAATTTTTTGTTCGGTCAAAAAATCTTTCGGTAACGCTGACCCTATGGGCTCTTTTATGGTGCAATAATCTACGAAAAATTCTCTATTTATTTATCATTAGACAAGATGCCTATCAATTCTCATAAGGGAGCACTGCCATGTCAAATAAGAAAGGTTTATAGAAAAACGCTGTAAAGTTTTTGAGTTCTTATTTCTTCCTTAACACGGATTTCCACAGGTTTCAATATGTGTCTGATAAAGGAATCGCTCAACAAATAGAAACTAAGATCTTGGGAAAAAGCGACTTTGAAAGAAGCTATGACATTTTGAAGTCAAAAATTTCGAATCGGACAGAACTCATGCAACAACCTAATAATTTATGTAAAACATATGCGTCAGATTGTGAAGAAAGTTACCGGAAAGTTTTGGAAATTTCATTTTCAAACTTGGTTCAGTCTTGAGGACATATATGTCAAATTCCTGTAGAAGAAAGGCCAAGCTTTCCAGAGTCGCATCCAGTTTTCATAGATGTCAAAATGTATTTGACCTACACACCAAAAAAGGAAGTCTATGCAGCAATGAAAATTTCGCAATTATTCTTTTTGCTGCCATTTTTTCGCACTAAACGAAGAAACCATCTGATAATTGGTGAATCTGAATAAGGAGGTTGTTTACTTTGATATTCCAGTTCTGCTCGAATTTTGCAATAGCGGTCAAAAATTACGAGCTGTCAAACTTGCATTCAACCGTACGTGTTTTCACAGTTGGCATCAATTTTTTGAGGATCGTCACGCCTCGGTGATGAGCCTAGAAAATGTGCAAGACATTACTCCAACAATATTTGAAGCAAACAAAGATTTAACTCATTCCGTAGAAAGAAGATAGATTTCAACCTCATTTATTCAAAAAAGGAGCATTTTTAGAGTGCAAAAATGGCCGTTTTCAATTTTTTCGAAAAATTTTGTTTTTAGGCTGTGCTCTAAAATTGTGACACAGTCTATAAACAGTCTCAGCAAAGCTGTACTGACTAACGGATATGAGCTCTATAGCTCCTCTTGCCTAAGAAATTCTTGCACTAGCAGGCCATAAGTCGAACATTTTCTCTACTGCGCATGCTGGCGGCCCGAAACGAAGTGCTGAGAACCAAACAAAACACTTGTACCTTAGACAGCATTGCATTTGCAGTAAAACATGCGAGAACTTTCTTTACACCCAGTAAAAAAGTGTGTACGTTCAATACTTACATGAATATTCTCACTGTACTAATTTTCTCACATAGCTAAATATTTCAGCCACTCAGGCAGTTATCTCATCGAAATCAAACTGATCGAATAACAAAATCAAATGATGTTCGAAAATTAAACAATACCCGAAAACCAGATAGGTAGTATTCGAAAGTCGAATAACGAATGATATTTGATATTCGAATGTTATTCGATAGCTGAATGTTTGGAAATTTCGGCTTTCAAACACTATTCGACATTCGAATATTCGAAAAAAACATCGAATTTGTCTAAATATAAGGTCCATAACCTTATAATTCACATAAATTCTAGGTGATCGAAAACAAAACTGAGTACTGCGAAACTGAAGAATGTGAAAGTGCAGTGGAATCTATTCAGTACGCAACAGTTTCATTATTCATTCTTTCTTATGTAATCCCAGGTTGGTGCCCCCATTTTTTTGTATAAAAAAGTTTTTCTGGCAGCGTGACTTGCAGTCATAATTCTTGCAACAATGTGTTATCAAATTGCGGCCTCTGTGCGCTCAACATCCTGCAATACCCAGACATGCATTAAAAAAACTCCCAACAAGATGAAAAAACTCCTTAGTGAGTTGTTATTATTATTTATTTTGATTTTGTCACTGCTTTGCGTTGAATAATATCCCCTCTTTCAGTAGCTGTAGTAGTGTCTTTCTTGATTTGCTGGTCACCTCATCAGATAACGCTAGTAATTATAGCTTTTAAAATTGTGGAATTTGAGAGGTCTGTACTCGATGTCATTTTAAACATATCAGGTAATTATCCTAACTAAGACGACTTTTGTATCTCGTCAAATTGTTCAGAATGCTGTTTGTACCTAAACTGTGCCGTGAATCCTATACTATACAACATGTTTTCAAGAAATTTCCGGAGAGCGCTTCAGAATATGATCAGTGGTGGACCAAATGCAACAGCGAAAGCGACTTGTTCTGCTTCTGTTGTAAGTAAACATCGACTGTCACTTGTCTCAAGTGATTTATGTGTCTGAATAAAAGCATTTGCATTCGCTCTTACTGTATTTTATGTTACTTTGATATAGTAATGTTATAAAATTGTATAACTTCATAACATTATTATTCTAATTTCATTACCAATCTTTATATTAGGTTGAACCGAAAGTTCTGTAACACTATTTTCAAAAAATCGTATCTTCTTCCTGTCACATTAGTCTTGCATGGCAAAATTAGAACTAGTAAGAGTAATTTATGTACTTTCTAATGACACCTTGCTTGCTCTCCCATAATCTCTGACTGCTGAGATAAAAGTGGGAAGAAAATCACTTCAAGTTCGGAATTTTGAGGCAAGAGCGTCAAAAATTCCAAAACTGCGCCATAAAATTCAAAGCCTGTATCCTATACTTTCTGACCCCCTCTTTCTAGGTGAGCAAACTTTGCGCTGATCGAGCTGTTCTTTGAGGAGTTATGATTTTTGAGAAAAAATGGCAAAGAAATCAATTTTCTCAAGAAACCGATTTTTTGATACTTTTTTCTCAAATATTCTCTCAAAAACTTTTTTAGACAAGTTCGGTCGGCGCGAATTTTGCTCAGTCAGAAAGAGAGGATCAAAAAACCTAGGTTACTGGCTCTTTTGGATTTTCTTGCACAGATTTGGAATTTCTAACCGGCTTGCCTCAAAATTCCGGAATTAAACTAAAATACTGAAAATATCCTTTTTACAATTTTATTTATGCAATCAGAGCATGGGAGAGAGACAGCAAGGTGTCTTTGGAAAGCACATGAGTTGGTCTTCCTGGAATTGTTTTTTCGATGGAAAATTCTATGTCAGGAAGAAATTACGATTTTTTGAAAATGGTGCGGGATTTTTTCAACAAATGAGTGCTCTGAACTTGTAAATGGAAAGTGAAAAAACTCGTGGAATTTGCAATGGTAGCGCTGTTGCTCCTTTTATTAACAGTCTATTCCGCCACGTATTGTTAATTCTACGTTCTTTATGAAGCAGCAGAAAAATGGATAGCAGCGATAAATCGTGATTTTCTTTTGATGAGCAGTGTTAGTGTTGTATTGAAAACGAAATTACCCATATCAAGATAGTCACTTATTCCAATATAAGTTGCTTCCTAGTTTGTGCTTCATGTCAAGCACTAATTTTCCACTTGAATCAGAAAACTGTTATGATCCCCACGACTTTGAAGTGCAACGTTCGGTTAATTTGACCTTGAAATAAAGCTTTCGTTTGAAAATGTAAGCATTCACCTTGCATATATACATAAAGTGGCGGACCGAGGGCGACGTCGCCTCGGGACCAGGCACGGGTCGGTTTCTAGAATTTCTGATAACGATGTTCAGCTTTCGAGAGGTTTACAAAGTCCCCTTTAACCTTCATCGAAAATCTGCCGACGGAGAAAATGAAAACAAAAAAGAGTTTCTGATCTAGCGGAAGAAATCTGGAATAAAAGTAAAGTTCAAGGTTTAACTGAACACTGCAGACGCACAAAAGTTTTGCATTGGAGCGCGGTATCTAACACTGCATTTGTGGAGAGACTGAGTCATGAAACAAGGGGAGTGCAATAAAATGAGAATGTCTTTAGGCCCAAGGAGAGGTTCTTGACCGGGGAATCCGTTCATGATAGGAAGATCCAAAACGTTCTAACCTTAAAGAAATATATGTTCTGTACGATCTCATCTTGTATGGCGGCCGTCTGGAAATTGACTAATCAAAAGACTATTACTTCAGTTTTCCGAATTTTTCTCAAAATTCTTCTGCATTCAATATTCTATGCCTAAATTCAAATTTGATGTCATATGCTTGCCTCCACGCTGTAAACAAACTTTTTTTCAGATATCGGCCTTGCTTTCAAGTCGCTTTAGCATTTCGTAAGAGATTATGGAGCATGTTCATCGCGTAGTGACCGTCTTTGAAGCTTTGCTTGACTGAATGGTTGCTGGGATACTAAAGGGATTGTGTTGAATCGTCTTGCACACTGTATGTGCAGGTAATCCATGTGCACATTTTCTTTAGGGCTCTGCCCCAAACCTTGCAATAACGATCTCTCCTTTTGTTGTTCCAAAAACGAAGTCCAACCTGGTTCCAATCGATGTGTGCCTAGTTCTCTGCATCCTTTTCCCACGGACAAGCGTGTGGTTTGGCATGCCGCACCTTGTAGTCGTATTGAGGGGCCAAGAGGGGAGCGGGGGGGGGGGGGTATTGAGGTGATAGTGAGAGCGATAATAATCGCTAACACATCAGATAGACTCATTACCCAAAAAACTATAAGCATGCTAAAGAGCCCTGAAAGCATTAGCATTTCAAATAACCTCTGTGGGTGAACTTTCAGCGAATCCTAGGGTTTCCATATACTTAGGGCCGAATGCATTAACATTTCCGCTGGGGAGGGGATCGCAGCTTCAGAAGAAATCTTCATAACCTGAAGCTCCGGATATCTGGATTTTACGCTGTCTACCTGTTCGTAGGTACTCCCACCATCTCCTCCACTATGAACATATCGAGCAGAAGCGAGAAGCTGCACGAGCCGCATTTCCTAGCTTTTTGTAGGATCCTGATGATCCCTGGGGGACGAACAGCTATTCTTCAAAGTCATTTTTTTTCCAAAGTTAACGAAAACCTTCCAAAGTTATACTGAACATCTAACACAACAGTGCTAAGCATGTTGCTGATGAGAACAAATGAATTTTTGTGAAAAACCGAATTTTTCGGTATACCCCAAATTTCGACCTGTAGATCATCGAAAATTTCTTGACTTCAAAACATCATTTGTTCTTATCAGCAACATGCTTAGCACTGTGGTGTTAGATGTTCAGTACAACTTTGGAAGGTTTTCGTTAACTTCGGAGAATGAAAAATGACTTTGAAGAAAAGCTCCGGGGATCATCAAGGATCATACAAAAGCTGAAAATTGCGGTTCGTACAGCTTCTCGCTCCAGTTCAACATGTTAATAGTGAAGGATAGTAGGAATGCTTACGGATAGGTACACAACGTGAAATCCAAGTATCTGGAGTTTCGAAGTATGAAGCTTTCTTTCAAGCTGGGATCCCCTCCCCGCGGCCATGTTAGTGCATGCGACCCTTAGCCGATCAGGTGAGACGGTCATTTTCGGACATTTCAACCTTGTTTCGAAAGCAGTTGACTACTTCTTTCTGCACTCAGTTCAAAAAACTACTACTTTTCTCGCCGCTTTCCCTCGCGATTCCCGGAGTAGCGTAAACTTAGCATGTTACAGTAACCCAATATTTTCGCAGTGTTTTCCATTTACATAGGCAAGGAAAAACGACTATCTTTCCCTAGGAGAAAAGATTTTGCAAGGAATTTCCATTGCGTAAAAGAGAAGGTTTAGCAGTGAAAAAAATATGGAACACAAGTATTTGAATGCTTTGAAGGTGAGTTAATGGGGTGTGGCATAACCCATCAAGAGGTGTGGCAGCCATAGCGTTTCGGGGTGCCACACTTCAATGAACGTTTTGACGAACGAAGTATATACAGTTCGATAGCCAAATCTCGTAGTTTTGCAGAAGTGATTAAAGTGGACTCGTCTTCTTCCGTATGAGCAACCACTGTATTGAAAAGTGGAACGATTGTGATTTTGGCTGGCTCCTCATTCCATAGCTTAATGCTTTTCTGGAGCAGGATGCATGATATGGGCAAACAGAGAGTAGTGCCTTGCACAGAGTACAAAAAGGGGCAGCTAATTCACTTTCAAAAAATAGTTAACCTTGTTTGAAAGAACCACTTCACTTGGGTGTCCGAATATTGGAAGCCCTCAAAATTTGCTAAAACTTGGCCGACAAGGATTATGACATGATAGTTACAAATATTAGGTCGGTGCAAAAGTTTTGTCAGTTTTTTCAATCCATCGGCAAACCGGCTAGAATGAAGATAAACAAATGCTTTAAAATGTTTCCAATGCAGAATTTCTTCCTCTTTCCAACAGCTAAACTCCCATAGTGTTTCGTTGAGAGAATGACGAGATATTTGCTGGGAATTACAACCACTCGTTTTCACCATGTCCGACTTCCACTAATT